TATTCTTATTACCCAGAATTGCTCAGTCGTTCACAGATCCTCTTCCAACAATATTGCTGTTCCTGTGTCCAGCATTCTCTCAATTCTGCTTATTTCACTCTTTGTTATTTCATGCAAGGCTTTCCATGATTTTCTAAAATCAACCTACTCGTCATTTCTTGCAGCACAGAAGTATTCCATCCCAGGGGAAAGGCCTAAAAAGCCACACAGAGAAGGTGGCACTTTTTTCTTAGCGGCCACTGGAATTTTCTGAGCAGAGGCAAGACGTGGTGGGATTTGTGCTTTACCGATCTTGTAGCTCTGTGGAGGATGAGGAGGATCGGGGAGAGAAGTGGAGACAAGGAGACCCTCCTAGGAGTATTGGGAAGACCTGGACAATGCAAGTTTCTAAACTGGTATTGAGCAAAAGCTATTTTCAGTGCCCTTATTGCAAACAGAAATAACAATGAAAAATTGCTTTGAGTTGGGAAATTACATCAGGTTGTCACAAAATATCATATTTATTTTTAAATAATAGAAATACTGAACACTGACTTTGCCAACTGTAGCAAATGAATGTCACTTTGGGTTTGACTGTCCAAAATCTTAGAAGTTTCTCCTATTTCTGTTAACAGTGCTCTCTGATGGAACTGCATTGTTCCCCTCACCTGAAATCAGAGGCAAAACTGGGAGACTCGAAACATTGCCCTTGATATCGGTCATATTGGCTGCTATGCAGCAGAAGAGGTAATAGGAGGGGCAGGAAAGGTGGGTTGCTGTTAAGTCGTTTTTTCAGTTGCGTCTGACTCTTTGTGATCCCATTTGGGGCTTTCTTGGCAGAGATACTAGAGTGGTTTGCCATTTTCCTTCTCCACTTTACAGATGAGGAAACTGAGGCAGAGTAAAGTGACTTGCCCAGGGTCACACAGCTAATAAGTGTCTGAGGCTGGATTTGAACCCAGGAAGATGAGTCTTCCCAACTCCCTGCTCCACTTAGCTGCCCTGGAAAGGTGGGGGAGAACCACAGATTCTGAGCTTGAGTCCCACTCCTCAACTTATACCATTTACAAAAATGGTACTTATTAGACTTCAAGGGAATGCAGGATACACCAGCTCATTCATTCAACACTGACTACTTTCCTAATGTGCTTCTCACATTTGTCTTTGGGTCAATGAGTAAACAGCCAGGAAAGCTAATGTATTGTTAAGGCTGAATTAAATGGACCTGAAATTCCAAAACCAGAGAAATGGGTTTTTATTTGTATTTAGGCCACTCAAGAAAGAGAAGGGCTGCCCTTCTCACTTTCCAGAAACCAGAGGCCATTTGGCCAAGGGAAGTGGTGGAGGATTGTCAGTAAAATGTAAGCTTTCTGCAGACAGGGACCATTTCCATTTTTATTGTTGTGTCCTAGGCACCTAGTACAGGGTCAGGTACCTGGTAGGTACTTAATAAATTCGTGTTGAATGAATGAATGAACTCAATTCAACCCACCAAGCATTTATTTATTTACAGGTCAGTTAGTCAGACAGTAAACATTTATGAAGTCCATGCTATGTGCCAGGTACTATGCTAAGTGCTGGGGATACAAAAAGAGGCAAAAGATAATCGCTGCCCTCAAGGAACTTATAATCTAATGGAGGAGACAACAGGCAAAGAAATATGTATCCAAGAAGCTATATATACAGATAGTAAATAATTAACAGAGGGAAGGCACTAGAATTAAGAGGGGTTGGGAAAGACTTCCTATAGAAGATAGCATCCAGGAGGAGAAATGAGAAGAGCATTACAAGCATAGGGACAGCCAAGAAAACGGCAGGAGCAGAGAGATGGAGTGTTTGGTTTGTGAACGGCAAGATCAAAGAGGTCACGGAGGAGTGTAAGGTGGTGGTGCTGTTTTAAGAAGACTGTAAAGGTGAATGTGGGTTGGGGTTTGGGTGAGTGGTATTATGAAGGGCTTTGAATACCAAACAAAGGGTTTTAGATTTGATTCTGGAAGCCATAGGGAGCCATTGCAGTTAGCTGAATGGCGGGTAACATGGTCAAGACTGTAGTACCAAGTACCAGGCAATGTACTGGGTGCCAGAGATACAATGACAAAAATTGAAACAATCCTGGCCCTCAAGATGCTTACCTGCTATCCGAAGGAGGGGAGAGGAGCAACATGTACAAAGAAAATGAAATACAAAAAAACCTACAGCAATAATAATAACTGCTTTACGTGTATTTTCTCATTTCTTCTCATCATAATCCTGTGAGGTAAGTGTTCCCATTTTACAGATGAGGAAACTGAGGCAGACAGAGGTTAAGTTACTTGCCCAGAATCACACAGCTAGTAAGTGTCTGAGGCTGGATTTGAACTTAAGTCTTCCTGACTCTAGGTCTAGTGCTCTCCACTGTGCCATCCAGCTATCTTCCCTTTTATGGAATAGTTTTTAGATTAACCTATCAATGATAGCTCTTAATTTGTTGAAGTACTTGTTTTAAATAATAAGAGTACATAAAGGCACCACGATACAGTGGAAAGATCCCTAAACTTGAAATCCAGAAGACCTTGGTTCAAATCCCTGCTGTGACACTTAGTGTTTGTGTAATACGGGCCTCGGTTTCCTCATCTGAAAAAATGAGGGATCTCTTTTTGTTCTGAATTTATGAGCTTACAATTATCTTAGTGTAATAATAAATACATGTATCAGCTTATTAATGATTCAATTTCACTCAAATTCTAGTATCAGGGGTGGGTTTTGAAGCCAAGTCTGGACCAACACCTCTTTCCATTGTACCGCACTGTCACCTTGGAGTTCTTAACTGGGGCTGTGGTTTCCATTATAAGCCTTTGTATTTTATTTTTAAAAAACATTATTCTGAGAAGGGATCAATAAGCTTTAGCAGACTGCAAGCCCCCTACTCAAGCCTTCCTGAGATTACTTCTCACTTACATTGTCTCTATGTTCTAAGCACATGGATGTTTCCTTGTGATCTCCTCCCCTTATGATGTGCGCTCACCAGGGCAGGGACTGGGTTTTTGCCTTTCTTAGAAGCCCGATGCTTAGCACAATGTCTGACACATTAATAAATGCTTGTTAACAATGATGATGATGGTGATGATGATGATGATGGTGATGGTGGTGGTGATGATGATAATGGTGGTGATGGTGAACCCCTGCCTAGAGAGACCAAAAAACCCTCATTATAGCTCTTTGTTCACGCTTCTCTCCCTTCCAGCAGAATGTAAGCTTCTGGAGGGTAAATTATTTCATTTTTATTTCTGTAACCCCAGCATCTAGTAGACACTTGATACTTGTTAAACCGAACCAAATGGAGGCCATTGATCTGTGATACCAACCAATAGCCCAAGTGCTAGCTGTGCTCACGCAAGCTATCTTGGGGCACTGATGGTTTCACGCACTAATGAACGAGAGAGAAATCTCAATAACCTGAGTGATTCTAAAAAAACCTTCGGGTGGAGAGTAGCATTTTTTCTAATAAAATTTTTGCCACATCACAATTCATTACTGAGACCTGCAGGGTCTGACAGGGAAAGCACAAAATGTGTCCTCATGTTGCTAGGCCAGATTATATCTCCCAGCAATTAATGCTTTTAGTCACATTAAGCTTAGAAATAATGCTTTCTGACAAAATGGTATTTCCCATTACAACTGCATTCTGTTGCATTGGTGCATAATCGGACTTGAAATATATTACCTAGGAAGAATATGTTTCTCTTTGAAAGTCAAGTCTCATTAGAAATCCAAGGCTTGAAAAAATCACGTTGTTAACAGTTATGTCCCCTAGCAAAGCTTTGCTTTCCCTAACCAGTGTTAAGCCCAGACCCCACAGCCCCGTCTCTCCTGAGTCTTTCCTCTTCACTGCACTGAAAGGAGAGTCCAGAATGCACTTAACATGGGCTGATTCTCCATATGTCTCTCCTCTCACCTTTTTGAAACTCTGTTGATACTAAGTATTTTGTAGGTATGAGGGTTCCACAGCTCAATGGTTAGAGAGCAAGGGGTTGAGAAATGGTCATAAGTTTGATTATGGCTAGAGCCTCACCTGTTTCAAAGACAGTGTGGTATGTGTTGGGAAATCTTGCTTCTGACACGTACTTTGCTACTATGGGCCAGTGACTGGACTTCTCAGTGCCCACAGACAATGATCTAAGATTGTAAGTCTCAGATGAATTGTCCATCAGTCTTACTGAGGGGAATTTTTATCCTTGCCAATAAATTCATAGGTCTAGACAGAAATGTGTATACATACATTTTTTAACATATATCTGCTCTTGATCTGTTAAACACTTCTGGGCCTCAGTTTCCTCCTCCATAAAATAAGGGCATTTTACTTGCTTGCTTCTGAGGTCTCCCAGCTCCCATGATGGCTTCAAAGGGAGTATTCTCACCAAAGATCTGCATGCCATCCTCAGTTATGACCTTCAGTGTTTGCCAGGGGATCTATCCAATATGCCAGGGGCCGTCCTTGCTTTCTCTTGATTTCATGCACACACAGGCTATCTATTGGTTACCACTTGCACCAAATACAAAACACTATTACTACTAATATTCTTCTTAAAGGTGACCTTCAGCTGCAATTTCTATTTTCCCTGTTAAAAAGTATGCCAAATTCACGTTTTCTACAAAGACTCTATTTGAAGGTAAGAAGAGTTATTTCTTAACCACATAATCCTACATTGCACAGATGCAAGCTGGAAAAAAATAGAACCCCCCCTATATAGTTACACACGGTAGATTCTTCCAAGAAATGTTCCCTTTGGTTAAGGTTACCAGTCTCTTTAAAAAACCAGTAATAAGCCTAACCTGCAAAATCATAAGCCAGCAGAGATACAGAAGGTATTTTGAGCCAGGTCACTAGCAAAATGCTACAAAGCTGGGCAAATGCTAAACATTCTGATTTGGTTTCAAGCCTTAGTGCCAACTCCTTAGGATTCCATTCAAACTTTTCATTTCTTCATGAATAACAAAGTCATTTACATTAGATACAAAATCAAGAGACAGGACATGGAAAATTTCCATCAGGATCCTTTATTGTTTTTGCTTCCAAGTTGGAACAAGACGCGATTTCCAAACTTGTGAAGATGTTCTCACTCATTCTGCTGGCCCCATCCCCGCCTCCTCTGTTCCACAGTTATGGTGGATGCTGGTGAGAACTGACCAATTGAGCCTTTGTTCACCTTGAAGACTCAGGCTAAATTCAGTGGAATCTCAGAAAAATTCCCTCCATTATTTGAAAAAGAAAAAATAAAGAGCCTAGCCATTTCCTTGTCCTTATTAGAAGGCTTGAGAGGCAGTATGGCGGTGGACAGAAGACTGACTGGTCAGAAGACCTGAGCTCAAATTCTACTTCTCATGATGACTGACTGAGAGAAGGGGAAAAGTTACCTAAACTCTTAGTGCCCCTAACGACTGTAGATGCCAGTGGAGTTTCAGGATTTGCCTGGAGAAATGGAGTTTCCCTACTGGGAGTTCCTCAAACAGAGATCCCAAGAGTAAGATGGGAAAAATTCAAATGCCTCCAGGAGGAGGCTCAAAGAGCCTCTCATTCTTTCCCCACCTTTGTCTAACCCAGGGGTGGGAAACCTGCAGCTTTGAGGCCACATGTGGCCTCGAGGTCACAGGTTCCCCACCCCTGGCCTAACCACTCTTGCATTATTTAAAAAAGGGATGGGTGGGTTTATTGTACACATTAACAGGTCCATGCAGAACAAAAATACAAAGATTATAGACATTTACAGTAACGGTTCATGTTATCAAGTTCAGATGGAAGAGAGATGTCCAAAGGAAGCTTTCCAGCAGTCCTATTTACAATGAAGAAAGATAACTATCAACTTGAGAGCTTTCCTTTCCTCGCCCAAAGGACTGTCCAAAGACCATATTCATTCTGGACCCCACCCCCTACAATTCTAAGTGATTTGATGGAATGTCTTGGCCCTATCCAAACTTTATTCCCCTCTATTTAAGAAACAAACAACAAAAAAAAAAAGAAAGAAATCCTTTCAGAGATCTGTGTTGTCAAAGTACATTCCCCAAACGACATTGCCATCTACTGAGAACGGAAGACATTCTGAGAGAGATCTAACTAAGACAACAGTGAGGCCTAATCTCTCCGGGTGAAATCCCAGGTAACAGACTATTTTTCATCCCCATGTTGAGGTAATATAACTGCTTGGCTGGGGACATGCTGGTGCAAATTAGAAGACCATCGTGACTGTGGCAGCCAGCAAGGAAGCTGGCCAGAGTCTGAGATTCTAGGGAGAGGGAGCATCATAGTTCGTCATGATTCTTTGTGAGGTCTTCCCCATAGTTGGTAGCCTGGCTGCCGACGAACATGTTCCAGTTCTCCAGTATCTCTTCTTTGGTTAACTTCTGATCCTACAGAGGAGGAGGAATAGGGGGAGGGAGAGATGGCGAGAAAGCTTTTTAGTAGGGTGACTTCCTAATAGGGATGTGGTTATTCAGTCATTTCGGCCATACCCGACTCTTTGTGACCACATTTGGGGTTTTCTTGGCAAAGGTACTGGAGTGGTTTGCCATTTTCTTTAACAGCTCATTTCACAGATGAGGAAACTGAGACAAAGAGGGTTAAGTGACTTGCCCAGGGTCACAGAGATAGTAAGTGTCTGAGGCCAGATCTGAACTCAGCTTTTCCTGACTTCAGGCTTGGCATTCTATCCAGTGAGCCACTTAGCTGGTGATAAGGAGCTAGATTCGCAAGTTGGGAAGGAGTAGGCTAAAAAAATCCCACTGTTATTTGATTATGGAATGCACTGCCCCAGTTACCCTCTGCCTCATAGAATCCCTCATGTTAAGCTCAGCTCAAGCTCTACCTTGATCATGAAGACTTCTCTCATTTCCCCAGTGGCTAGTGCCCTTCCACCCAAACATTCATATCTCTTCTATACATATATGATTTTTTTTTTAGGCAACTGGAGTTAAGTAACTTGCCCAGGATCACACAGCTAGTAAGTGTCAAGTGTTTCGTCTGAGGCCGGCTTTGAACTCAGGTCCTCTTGACTTCAAGGCCGGTGCTCTATCCACTGCGCCACCTAGCTGCCCCTACATATATGATTTTAATCACGCTGTGTCCTTTGAGAGAATGTAAGCTTCCAGAGGGCAGGCCTTTTGGCCTTTGTATCTCCAGCACCTAACACAGTATCTGGCACACATGGCAGGTTACTTAACCTCAATGGGTCTCCTCATCTTTAAAATGAGGGTCTTAGACCAGATGACCTCTGAGGTTCCTTATGACCCTATGAACCTAGGACATCTTACTTGTTTTTAGGCCTTGGACATTATCTGGGTAGTTTCTCCTGGACCTCAGTTTCCTCATCTATAAAAATGAGAGGATTGTATCAGATGGCTTCTGAGATACTGGATTTGGAGTCAGAAGACTTGGCTTTAAATCCCACCTTACTGTGCGATTTTAGGCAAATGACTTAACCTTTCTCAGCCTCGGTTTCTTATCTGTAAAACAAGGCACTGGGCTAGATGGGCTGAGATCCCTTCCTCCTAAACCCTATGACCCTTTCAGTAATCCAAGTATGAAGAACAGCACTATGATAAAGGTCAACGGCACCTCCCTCATGTGGGCCAAGGTCAAAATAACCAAAAAAGAGCCAACCTGAAGTGATCTTAGGCAAGTTGGTTGGAAGCAAGGAACGTTCTCCTACCTTGTCCTGGTCTGACTCGTACACCAAGTGCCTCGCCTCCGCTTGGGCATGGTCATAATCTTGGGGAAGAATCCAGTGCCGAATCTCCTCTTTGTCCATCTTCCCATCCTTGTTCAAATCCCGGAAATCTGAAAACTGCTCCCGTTCAGTGACCACCCAGTCCGGCTCTGGGCCATTCTCCTCATGGGCAAACATATCAGCTAGAAAGGAAAGAAACGCTGTTTTTAAAATATTCTCTTCACATAACACTACAATCAGTACACAAGTTAAAGATGGAGAAATCCCAACTGTGGGCTATTCCTTAGGGAAGGCATCAGCAAACCTAAAGATTTCAGGCCCTTTCCCTATTCCCCCCAAAGTGGATTCTGCTGAGATCGCAGAGTCAGCACGATGCGATGGGAAGAGCACCAGATTTGAGGAGGAGGACCTGGCCTTGAACCCTGGGTTTTGTGCCTTTTTCCCCTTTATTGGGTCCCAGTTTCCTTATCTATAAGATTGAGGAGGTCAAGCTAGATGGTTTTCATGGTCCCTTTACAGGATTATATATTTAGAGCTAAAAGGGATCTCAAGGGATCTCAGAAGCCAATGAGTCCAGCTCCTCCATTTTGCCAATGAAAGGAAATGACTCACCCAGAGTCACACCACCAGTAAGTTTCTTAGGCGTGATGTGAAGCCAAGCCCTTGGACTCCCGAGTCCAGAGTCCTATTCATAGGCCATGCAGCTTCTCAGAATTTGAATCAGCTCTAGGCCTATAATTTTGATTCTATAACCTTCCTCAACCTTTCTAAGCCCCACTTTCTTCATCTGTAAAAATGGGGATATTAATACCCACAACAATAATTTTTACAGGGTTGGCCTTTATGTAAACAAGTAAATAAAGCATATTGTTACTATAAAGCAGTACACAGACATACAGGATTTGATTTTTTTTTAAGATACCTAGACTGTACACTGTTTCTCAAGGGCCAACCTCTAATACCATAAGCATGGCCAAATGGTATTACTTGAGGGTATGGATTTAGCTGTTAGGAATTACAGATGACATCTAGGCCAACCCTATCATCTTACAGCTCAGGATACTGAGCTCCGTGGCTTCAAGTCCCAATTAAAATCCTACCTTCTACAGCCTTCTCTCATCCCTCTTAATTCCAGTACCTTTCTTCTGTTAATTATTTCCTATTTATCATGTATATAGCTTGTTTTATATATAAATATATATAATATCCTAAGTTAGATTATATATATGTATATGTACATGTACATGTATATGTATATATGGGACTGTCTTTTGTCTCCTTTTGCATCCTCAGGCACTTAGCACAGTGCCTGGTTAATAAATGTTTCTGTAGGCAGCTAGGTGGTGCAGTGAATAGGGTGCCAGTCCTGGAGTTAGAAAGACTCCTCTTTCTCAGCTCAAATCTGGCCTCAGACACTTACTATCTGTGTGACCCTGGGCAAGTTACTTGGCCCTGTTTGCCTCAGTTTCCTCATCTGTAAAATGAGCTGGAGAAGGAAATAGCAAATCACTCCAGTATCTTTCCCAAGAAAACCCATATGGGGTCACGAAGAGTTGGACACAACTGAAATGACTGGATGAGAAGAACAATAAATGTTTATTGAGTGATTGATTAAGTGATTCACCAAGGTTACACAAGCTTTAGGTGGAAGAGCTAAGCTATGTACCAAGGCCTTCCAAATCCAGCATCCTTTGTGCCAGACCATGCTTGGCTAGTACAAAAGACAAAAATGTCCCTTCCAGGCAAACTCAATTCCCAGGGTCAGGTTCCCAGCTCGTTGCCATCCCTGGACAGAATTCAAAAGGCACTGGGCAAAGGGTTGTGAAGCTAATGAGAGAAGCTCCAGTGTTTGTCTGAATCCGCTGGCCACCTCCTGTCAATTTGATTCCATCACAACTGTCAATTTGATACCTCCCTCCCTCCCCAACTCTGAACGCTTCCTTCAATTATGTACTAGATGAGGGGAAGACACCTGGTACACACACTTATAAGACACCTGTCAACATCTGTTATTGCAGGGAGGGAGTGCCGCCAAATGTACTTTAATTATGGAGAGCGGAGGCTTGTCTGTTATTTCTGCTGGACGTGAAAATCGTCCAGATCTTCAGGATAAATATGATTTGTAACGATTAGAAAAGCTCCGCTTTTAATTAGCACGACATGTGCTGGGTTGCAGCATTATATCATGACAACCTTAGAGACAGGTGAGATTTTAAACTCGGGCTTTCATGGATTGGAGCAAGCTTTGGAGAGGAAAGAAGGCACTACAATGCTACCTCTCCAATCAGCTTTTTGCTAATGAAAGGTATCTGGGGATACTAAAGCAAGTGCTCAAGTAATGTAGTGGATAGAGATCAGGACTTTTATAATAAGAGTCTGGAAGACCCGAGTTATAATTCTGCCCCAGTCATTTATTAGCTGAGTGACCCTGGACAAATCACTTTACCGTTGTCTGCCTCAGTTGCCTCATCTGTAAATGGAGATAATACTAGGTCTTCCTCCCAGGTATATTGTGAAGATAAAATGAGTTAATATTTGTATTAGTGTTTTGCAAACCTTAAAATGAAGTGTATATATATATTAGCTATGAGAATGGGAAGTCAGTGGAGGTAGCAACAATACCATCGATTTACAAAAGTGGTAGCTACAAGCCAACCCCAAAATAGAGCAAGATTCCTTGAGGACAGGGACTATTTCCACTTTTGTACTTGTATGCCCAATGCACAGGGCACACAAGAGGTGACACATTAGACAATCACAGAATTTCAGAGCTAAAAGAGAGCTCGGTAGCTATCCAATCCAGCCCTCATACAAAAGGAATTCCCCACAATAGTATACATGACCAGTACACTCCATGTAAAGACCTCCGAAGAAAGGGGAATCCACCACTTCTCATAGCAGCCCATTTCACTTTGGGACATCTCTGACTGGGCAGGAAATTTTTCCTGACCTCAAGTCTCAGTTTGCCTCTTTGCAACTATGATCCAAAGATCCCAGTTCTTCTATCCTCTAGGGTCAATTGGAACAAGTCTAACATGGTAGGCTTTTAGGAAGTGTTTATAATGAATGACTAACTTAATGAGTGGCTAACAATGAACGAATGAATTTGTTTTTAACTTATATACCGCCCTTATGGCCAAAAATGTGAGATGGGACTCTCAAAGCTGAGAGTAACTGATACAAAGATGGAAAGGATCCCCAGTGAGTCCAACAGTATAATGATGAGCTCAATCAAAGAAGAAATTTCATAGGGATAAATATAAAATTTTATGCTTAGGTTAAAAAAAATCCATTTTGGGGGGCAGCTAGATGGCGCAGTGGATAGAGCACTGGCCCTGAAGTCAGGAGGACCTGAGTTCAAATCCGGCCTCAGACACATAACACTCACTAGCTGTGTGGCTCTGGGCAAGTCACTTAACCCCAAATGCCTCACTAAAAAAAAAAATCCATTTTATGCTATCCACAAAGAAGAAAGAACTATGGAGTCTGAATGCAGATCGAAGCATACTATTTGCTATTTTTTTTCTTCTGTTGTGTTTTGTTTCCTCTTTCTGGTGGTTCTTCCTATTGGCTCTAATTCTTACACTATCACTTATGTGAAAATATGCTTAATAGGAATAAATATGTATAGCCTATATCAGATTGTGTGCCATCTTAGGGAGAGAGGTGGGGAGGAAGAGGGAGAAAAATTTGAAGCTCAGAAGCTTACAGAAGTGATTGTTGATAATTCAAAATAAATTAATTTTAAAAAATTCATTTCACAAGCATGAGATGGAAGAATTACCAATACATAAGGTCAAGGCAAAAGGAAGCTGGGACCCCGAGAATTCACAGGTGATTATCAGAATTCTGGTCTAGGGATCACAGAATCACAGTGTGTAAACCTTTGAGACCATCTAGTTGTCTGATCTATGCATCACGGATTTAAGCCAAGATGGGATTTAGTCCAACTCTCATTTTACAGAAGAGGAAACTGAGGCCCAGAGAGGTCCAATGTCTTGCGCAAAGCCTAGTTAGGGAAACATTCTAGGGCTTAGACAGAGATTTTCCCTTCCAGTCTAAATTCAGGAATTTTTCGATTTCTCTCTCTTTCCATATACATACATACATACATACATACTATATATATATATATACATACACACATACACAGATATATATATACCATATATACATAATTACACATTACACCATATATAGATACCTGTATAGTGTATGTCACATATACATTATACATACATATACACATACGTATATGTGTACATATATACGTATGTGTATATATATGTGTGCATGTGTGTATACACACACAGACCTTTTTTTGTATCCTCAGTACTAAGCACATACTGTTGTTGTTCAGTCATGTCCAACTTTTCCATTTGAGGTTTTCTTGGTAAAGACACTGCAGTGGTTTGCCATTTCTTTCTCCAGCTCATTTTACAGATGAGGAAACTGAGGTAAACAGAATTATATGACTTGCCCAGGTTCACACAGCTAGTAAGTATCTAAGGCAGAATTTGAACTTAGGTCCTCCTGACTCCAGGTCCAGTGCTCTATCCACTGTACCACCTGGCTGTCCTAGTGCTTAGCACATAGTAGGCACCAAATACATGCTTTGTTGCTGACCATATTGAAACAACTTGGACAAATAAGAAGGGGTGGATCTAGAATCCAGGTCATGTGACTCAATCAATAAACATTTAAACAATATATTAAACAATAATCCAGTGCTCCATCAATAAACATTTACGAAGCACCTACTATGTGCCAGGCAGTGTACTAAGTTCAGGGGATACAAAAAAAAGGAAAAAGACAGGTCCTCTTCTCAAGAATTCACATTCTAACAGGAGGGAGATAACACGTAAACAATTATGTACAAACAAGTTATAGGATAAATTGGAAATAATCAACCAAAGGAAGGCACTAGAATTGAGGGGAATTGGGAAAAGCTTCCTGTAGAAGGCAGGATTTTAGTTGGAACTTGAAGGAAGACTGGAAAGCCAAGAGGGAGAGATGAGGAGAGAGAGCATTTAGGCATTGGTGACAGCCAGGGAAAATGTCCAGAATCAGGAGATAGAGATGCATTTAAGTGGAGGGCTCCGCTCCCCTAAGGGGCTAATATTCCACTTAAAAAAACAGAACTGTCCTTTTTCAGGGGGGGAACAGCACCATCACGTAAAGTGAGGCATAACTGCAATTTTGCTCCAGTGTCCAATCCTTCCAAGAGACACTGAGCCCTGGGTATTCCCTGACCCTCAGCTCATCTCCTCCTATGCTATACCTAGGTGTGGAAGGGATAGCGTGGTACAGGGGACAGAGGGCCGGACTTGCAATCAGGACGACCCGAGCTGAACTCATAGAGGTGCCACCAGCAGCTCCAATTCAAGACTTACCGATGTATTCATCCTGATCTACAAATCCGTCCCCATTCTTGTCAATGTCTTCCAGCGTCTCCTGTGTAGGGAAGGCGGGAGGTGGGGGTGGGGAGAACAAAAATGAAAAACTTCTCCGATGTGAAAGTAGCAGACTTCCCAACTGCCTGGCTATCAAAGGCATTTCCTAAAGAGGGCTATTCTTTTAATACTGGCCAACTCTCAATGATCTGCACCAAAGCAAGAAATTAAACAGCACAGAAAAATCCTGAAACCAAGACTGAAAAAAACCCAACTATCCACCAGAATCAATTTTCCATTTTTGTAGCAAATTTCATATCCTAGCTGTGCTTTTCGGGGTTTGTTTAAATTTTTTAAATTTCTATCTTTTATTTTCATATTATCTGTTTCTGATACATTTTGACACTGCCCTATCTTCCCGGTCTTGAATCACTCCCCTCCTTGCACTGGCTCCAGCCAAGCTGGTCTATTCACTGTCTTAGGTTCTTGTCCTATTTCTGGTCACCTCTTGTCACTTTTTGTTTTGTTGTTTGTTTAGAAGACCCTCTACTTTCCTGACCCCCACCCCCAACCCCACCTCCATCATTCCTTTCTTTCAAATAACACATATGATAAGCACCTCACTAAAGCTTTCTCCGACCTGCTCTGACACTTGCTGCCTGCATGACTTTGGCCAGGTCATTTATTTTTCTGTGCCTCAGTTTCCCAATCTGAAAAATGAAGGAGTTGCACGAATGACCAGTAAGGTCCCTTCCCTAGCTTTAGTTCTGTGATCCTACAATTCTTTCATTCCCCAGTCCTAGCACCATGTTGTTTCTTACCAAGACCACAATATCCTTCATGTGCTCAAACTCCTCCGGGTGCATGAAGGCAGTGAATTCCTCTCGAGTAGCCGCTTTATCACCATCAAGGTCAGCCATGTTGAACCTCCTCTCGTCACGAGGCAGCATCTTCTTAAAAGTGTGTTGATCAGATCCATCTTGAAATTCTTCTGGGTTCCCTAGATGACACATGAAGAAAAAAAGTAGGACATAAGCTCCCCAAGGGCAGGTTTATCTTTGCATCGTCAGTGCCCATCACAGAGCCTGGCACACAGCAAGAGCTTAATAAATGTTTATTAGATTGGATATAAGTTCCTTCACTGCTGCTTGAAAACTAAGCTCCTTCTTCCTTTCCAACCCTTCAGTCACCAAGGTGAAGGGAATATGGAAAAATGCTGGTTATGGCCAGATTGTGGCAATCTCAAATGCCAGGCTAGGAAATACTATGCAATTTAGGATGATATACCTATTTGTTGGTTAATTATGCCATGTATGTTAGTCTCCTCTCTCTCTCTCTCTCCTCTCTTCCTTCCCCCCTTCCCTCCCCTTTCTACCCTCTTTCTCTTTCCTCTCTCTTTCTCCCCTCTCTTTTCTCTTTCCTCTCTCTCCCCTCTCTCTTCTTTCTCTTTCTCTCTCTCTCCTCTCTTTTTCTATCTCCTCTATCTTTCTCTCTCTCAGGCCTATAGTTTCATTCCTGTGGGAAACTTACCTCTACTGACAGAGAAGAGCAACTCATCTGCAACTGAGTCTTAGATCATTGCCTTGGGGCAATTGCTCAGGGTCATACAACCAGTGTACGTCAAGGGTAGGCCTTGAGCTCCAGGTTTTCCTCACTCTATTTTATTTTTTTTGGCTAGGCAGTGGGGTTAAGTGACTTGCCCAGGGTCACGCAGCTAGTAAGTGTTATGTGTCTGAGGCTGAATTTGAACTCAGGTCCTCCTGAATCCAGGGGCAGTGCTCTACGCACCTAGCTGCCCCAGGTTTTCTTCACTCTAAAGCTGACCCTCTGACTGTTATGCCTCCCAGTGTGTTAGTGTAATCTCTCCAAAATCTTAAGGTGGGACAATGTCTTGTATTTTTAAATTTTTTATTTTTATATTATTTTATATTTTTATTTAATTTTGTTTAGTATCTGGTTGCCTAAGTGAACAGACTTCCTACCTTCAAAAAAGTCAGAGATAGAAGCACAAAAAATCAGCAGTAATCCTTCCCCAGAGAAGGAATTGAGGGATGGGGGAGAGAGATAATGTGTTTCCATAACTCCCTCCTTTCAGTAGAGAGGTGGGGCACTATGGAAGCAGAATGCAATATACACTATCAATTGTGGTTGTTTAAATAGTTGTGTTTTGTTAGAAGAAAGGGCTCAAGTTGGGGGTTGGGGAAAGTTTTTAAAAAGATGATGTGTTTCCTGAAAGAAGTAAGTGATTTTAGCCACCAAAAAATGACTGGTAGGAGAGGCTCTTACCCAAGTAATAGCCATATGTAGCCTGCTTATACTCTTCCCAGGAAATCTTATCATCTTTGTTCCGATCATAATCTTTCCAGACTTTCGCCACGTTTTCATAGATGTATCGTTTCTGTACCCGTTTGATCCAAGTTTTCAGCTCCTCAGTTGTGACAAAGCCATCTCCATCACTATCTATTCTGCCAACAATCTTTCTGTAATGAGAAACCGGGGGTTACTGGGAGGGCAAAGGTGGTCACGGCATGGGAGAAAACAGAAAACCTGACTATCTAAGCATCTCCAGTTCAGGAAAGCTGCCAGGCGCTGCTTTTGGCTGGACCAGCATTTCCCAAACTAATTTGGCCACGGAACAATGTGGGGTTTGAAACAGACGAATGGAACCCCATTGGTGCCTATTGGGGGAGGAATCAGAGGGTTTGGCGTGCCTCCCAAAAAAAAAGGAGGGGGAATCCTGGAGCAAAATAAGGCGCTGGCTCTGTTTTCCCACTGAAAAGCTGTTGCACAGAATACATATTTTAAATAAATACATAATATTGTATTTCACATTTTACAGGAAGAAATGGCAACAGCATGGGATTCTTCTCACTTAGTCACACCCTGTGGAACCCAGGGCTTCCCGTGAATGGTTTTGGATTTGGGAAAATGCTGGCGGGCAGAAACATAGGGAAGATTGCACTTTGTACCTAACTTGTTTTCCTTTTTTACTTAGACCTGTACCTGCGATTTCATTGTTGCCATGGAAAACCCCCTCGGGGAGGAACCCCACTTCTACCAATGCTGATCAATACCTGCTCCTTAGACATCCTGGGAGTCCTGAGAGTTTAAAGGATTTCCTTATGCCCTTATCAATGAACATTTATTAAGCGCCTACTATGTACCAGGCGCTGTGCTAATCACAGAGGATACAAAAAGAGGCAAAAGACAGTTCTTGCACTCTAAAAGCTTAAAATCTTATCAGTTACCTCATCAGACATTTAGTTTCTATTTTATATAGCAGTTCTAAGTGTTTATTTCATTCCCTTCCACTGGACTGTAAGCTCCATGAAGGCAGGAACTATATTTTACTGATCACTACATCTTCCCAGTCGATGCTCATTATGTTTCAACAATGCAGAGAGGTCCCACCAGAAATTCCTCTTCCAAGGCAAGTCGGAACCTTGCTTACTTATTGAAATGAATTTGTTGAACAGGGAAATAGAAGAAAAAACTTCGATGAGTACCAAATAATAACATTAATGACAACAACTGGCATTTACACAGAGTCCTAGGGTTTATAATGTGTGTAACAGACATTATTCTATTAGAGTCTAATAATAAGCTTGTGAAGTAGGCACTACGGGAGTCCCCATTTTACAGACAGAGACTGGGGCCCAGAGAGACAAAGTGATTAGCAAAGGGTCACATATCTAGTAAGATATGTTTATAGGACTTTTAGAAACTGCATTATTTGTCTCAGATACTGTACTGAGGCCTGAAGGCTGCAAATCTGGTCCTGAGATAATTACTCACAAAAATCCAAACTTCCCACATTGCTTGGTCACAATAATTGTGAAGTGCTTGGATTCTTATAATCCAGCCACCACTTAGATTCTTGAAATGTACCCAAAAGCACACTAATGTTCAGAGTCTTTAAGGGTCTGCTCAATAGGGTGAGTGTTCTAATAAACCTTGTCTTTGGCTGAAAGAAGGCCTGGGGCCAATTCTTTCAGGCAGGATCTGCATGTTGTGATTTTGGGGGCTGAGCACCCCTAAACCTCTAGACCTCATCATATGGTTCCTTGCACCAGGAAAAACTGCCTAATACCAAGCTCTTCACCAGCCATGACTGGAAGATTTGTGTCTTCCAGACTACAGGCCATTCACCTACAGTTGGTAGCAAACAGCGGGTACCAGCCAATGTCCCCCAATCATTCCCTGGATACAGCCTGTGCTCAGTTCCAGTCAACCTCCTCAAGGCAGGGACAGCTCTACGCTCCTTGCCAGCAGGAAGCAGTTTCAGAAGCCAAGAACTTCACCCCTCAGCCCAAATGAATTTGGGTCCCGTTTGTTTGAGGGGGGAATGATGAGGACGCCATCTAGACCCCAAAAAGGAAAAACCCTAGACTTTCCCACGTGGCCAAATCCCTGGTGTTTGCCTGAGGCTATAATCCCATCAACTGGCCTTTCATTGTGGCTATACCAAATCTCCCAATTCTGTTACCTCCCTATGGCCCCAGGCCACTTTCCACCTTTGATCCTATCTAGGCTCCATTCTCTCAGTCCAGGTCCTTGAAGTTCTATTACCTCATAGACTACTTGGCCACTCCTAGATTCCTCCCATAGTCTTTCTGTATATCAGGTCCATCTTGTCTCCATTAACGTGCTCAGATTCTTATAATCTAGCCATTGCTTAAGAGTCTGCCCAACATGGTGAATGTTCTAATAAACCTTGTCTTTGGGTGGAAAAACAAAAAAACAAACAAACCAGTAACTGTAGACTTTAGATCCTAAATAAACACTTTAGGTCACTCTTTTGTTCAGTCCTTTCAGTCATGTCTGACTCTCTATGACCCCATTTGAATTTTTCTTGGCAAAGATACTGCAGTGGTTTGCCATTTCCTTCTCTGGCTCATTTTACAGATGCGTAAACTGAGGCAAACAGGGTAAAGTGACTTGCCCAGCGTCACACAGTTAGTAAGAGTCCAAGGCCACATTTGAACACAGATAATCCTGACTCCAGGCCAGGTGCTCTATCCATTGCACTACCTAGCTGCCCTTAGTGTAGTATAGCATAGTAAGCAAGAGAAGGTGTCTGAGAGATAAGAAGAGCTGGGTTCAAGTCCTACCTTAGACACATATTTGCTGAATTACCTTGAGCAAATCACTTTTTTCCCCTCTTCATTTCCTTTTTAATTTATTATTTCATTTTGGTAAATAGTATTTTATTTTTTCCAATTACATGTAAGGATTGTTTTCAGCATTCCTTTTTTATAAGATTTTAAGTTTCAAATTTTTTTCTCCCTCCTCTCATCCCCTCTCCCCAAGATGGCAAGCAATCCACTATAGTTATACATGTGCAATCACGGAAACACAGCAAATCACTTTTAATCCCTCAACGTCCCAGGAAACTCTCCAAGACAAAGTCCCACAACAGCTGCCAGTCTTCCTTGGTAGAGCGAGTTTACCCAACAAAAGCTCCCCACCAAAGAAATCACATGTCTAAATAAAAAACCAGAGATAAAAACTAGAGACATAGTCCCAGAATCTCACTAGTTGAAAGGGGTCATGGGATCACTGATCTGGAGCTATAAGGGGACTCAGAGGCCAAGATTGCCCTCTTAAAACAGCCCCTAAGAAGTATTCTTCTAGAATCTTCTAGGAGAGGTCCCCTGAGGGAGAACCCACCCTGCCTCCAAAAGCAGCCCATTTCCTTCTGGACGGCTAGAATTCTTAGGAGATTTGGCCTGACAATAAGCCTAACCTGGACTCCTGACAGTTGCCATGCAGAGATCTCACAGCTCTGCCCTCTGGGGCCAAGGGGAACAAGTCTAATCCCCCTTCTATGTGACAGCCCTTCAGCTTCTTCAGACCACAATCCACGGCTCCCTGAGCCTTCTCCAGGTTAAATGTGCATAGTTCCTCCAACCAGTCCTGATACAGCATGAACCCCAGCCCCTCTGCTCCCCTCCTTCAGATGCTCTCCAGCTGAACGCAACCAAGTCACTTCTCGGTGGGCTGCAGATTTTCCCATTTGACTATAAGTTCCATGAGGGCAGGGCAGAGTGTGCTAGAGCCAGCTCACACCAGCTCACAGAGCTGACTGGTAAGTTTTCAGTGACAGCCTTTATACCTTGGAAATCAGCAAACAAAAATCAGGGGTTGATTTATCGTTTTTGTTAATTGTCTAGATTCAAGAAAGTGATGGAGGGGCAGCTAGGTGGTGCAGGGGATAAAACATCAGCCCCAGACTCAGAAGGATCTGAGTTCAAATCTGGCCTCAGATACTTACTAGCTGTGTGACCCCGGGCAAGTCACTTAACCCCTATTACCTTAAGAAAAAAGTGGAGAAGATGTTAATGATTTTTTTAAGACTCAGTTGTTAAACACTGACCAACACATCCTTGGAGAAAGGACTGGGTTTTATTGATCTCTATGTGTTTCCAGAAAGGGGTAGCTAGGTATTGCAGGATAGAGCACTTGACCTGGAGGCAGGAAGATCCTGTCCAAATATGGCCTCAGACACTAGCTGTATGACCCTGGGCAAGTCACTTAACCCTTATTTGATCTCAATTCCTTGTCTTTAAAATGAGGGCACACTAGAGAAGGAAATAGTAAATCATTCCAGTGTCTTTGCCAAGAAAACCCCAAAATGGGATCACAAAGAGTAGGACAAGACTGAATGACTAAACAACACCGACAACGTGTTCCCAGTTGGTGCTCAGTATGATTCCATCCATGTAAGAGCTTCCAGGAAGAAATTTCTCTTCCAGTGCAGGTCAGCACCTTGTCTGGATCTTCTGGTCTTAGAGAGCGGCTTAAGGCACTGAGACCTTGGTTATGTGCATCTTCGTTCTAGAGCACTGAAAGATTAGACCTCAATGCCTAACGCATTTATTATATAGTAGTTTTATAGAGTCAACACACTGATTATGTCAAAAGAAAAACTCAGAAATTCAGACCAGGTCTTCCTGACTCTGAAGGCCTGGGCTTCTGACAAGTGGCTGGAGGGCTCAGCCTACTGAGTTCTAGATTCCAAATTCCAAAATCCTTCTGCTTCAACCATTCCAAACATTTCTGAAGCTCCAGGCCCACTAATGAATGGGTCTCCAGCCCTTCAGGGCAGGGGCCTATCAATGGCCTTCATTGTTAAGTCAGAACCAGAGGGTGGAGTGGTTGAGTTTCCCTTGGTGAAAAGAATGATGGGATTGTTTGCACCTACGGCTTTGAAGGCCAGAAATCTGTCTACAGGGACCTAAGCAGATAGGTTATCTAGCCATGACCCATCACGTACCTCCAAATCCTCAGGGAAAAGGTTAGCCCGGAAGATTTGTAGTGCTGACTGTCTCTCTCTCTGTGAAATCAGGAGGCCCAGGGTTCAAATCCTGCCTGAGATACCCGAAGGGCTGATGTAGCCCTAAGGCAAGGTCTGTAGCCCTCAGGGACTTAGTTTTCCCATTTGTAAAATGGGATTATACCTAGGTTACCTACCTCACAGGGTTGCCGTAAGGTCTAAATGAGGTAATGTGTGTAAAGCATCACCTATCTCCATCCTTTCTAGGTATGCTGGTGGTCCAGTGGTCAGGGCTTTTCTGATTTACTCCCCAATCAGCTTCAAAATGCCTGTGCCCAAAGTTCTGACTCCTTCTGCTTATCACATGGCCTCTGGAGTCCAAACACACAGGCCCAAGGGAAAGGACTTTGAGTGGGGTGTAGTGGAATGACTCATACATCTGGCATCAGAGGAGCAGGGTCCAAGTCCTGTCTCTGAGGCTTCTTGTTTATGTGACCCAGGAAAAGTCACTGAAATTCTCTGTGCCTCAGTTTCCTCTTCTGTAAAATGAAGATGAAATGGCCCCTCCAATCCTTTCCCATTCTCTGTCTACAATCCTATAACATTCATCTTGGAAAAATCTATGCAGCATAATGGAAAGAGGATTTGGAGTCAGGAGAGACCCAGGTTCAAATCCTGCCTCAAATACTAAGAGAGTATCCACAAGTCAGTCAGTTAACCTTTCTAAGACTCTTCTTGCTTATCTGTTAAATGGGAATAATAACACAGAGGAAGATGTGCTGAGGATCAGGTGAATAGGAAGTACTGTGAAAATCTTACCCACAGTGCCAGCTACAATTCCCCTGAAGGATCCCCAGGTAGAATTCCAGAAATAATAAACCTACAACCAAGTATTTCTCCCAAAGCCAAGACAGCAACTGACATTTATTATAGAGGCTTTTAAGGTTCACAAAGTGGTTTGCACACTCATTTCATCGGATCTTCACAACAACCCCTATGAGGTGGACACTGTGGGTATTATTATCTCCTTTTTACAGATGAAGAAACTGAGACTCAGAGATGAAGTTAACTTCAGCATCAGCCTATGGGATTCAGTGGTCCCAGGTTCAAATTCTAGCTCTGCTACTTACCACTTGGAAATCGGAACAAGGCATTTCTATGGGTCTCAGTTTCCTCATCTGGCTCTGAAGCCCCTCCTGACTTTCTATCCATGATCCTGATTCTAAGCCTCAGAAGTGGAACTCAAGCCCAGGGCTGTTCTGGCTCTGGGTCCAGCCTTTTCCTGCTAGAACACATCACTTTTCAGGACCATAGCAACAGCCAGTGACCAACACGTAAGATTTTAGAAATCATTTGAGTTCAAAATCAACCTTTCATTTTCCAGGGGTCCAATCACCTCATAATAGTAATGGGTCAGTCACCTAATAGTTCAAGGGAGTGTGGGGAGGGGAGTTCAGGAAGAACTTCTCCCTGGGAAATCCCAGGATGGAGAAAGGCAGGCAAATTCCCTATTGTGGTTTCTAATTCTGTTGAGCTTCTGGTCACATTAACTAGCCCACACGTGGCCTCGAGGCCACAAGTTCCCTATCCCTGATACTGGTGGCAAGCGGATAACAAGCAGCTTGGGGCAGTGGGAAGCTCACGACTTCAGAGCCTGGGCGGAATTCCGGCTTCTATACTTACTTATCTGTGTGACCTTGGGCAAGTCACTTCATCTCTCTAAAATAAAGGCGTGAGATTAGATGATCACTAAGTCTTTCAGTTAATTCAGCTGAGAATACAACCTTCTCATTTCCCTCCGATCCCTCAAACTCCTCTCTGATCCAGGTTGGGGGCTGCCTAAAATTTGAATTTGTCTTGGAGGCTGGATAAGGAGTTGCAGGGGATAAAGTTAAAAAAAAAAAGTAACTTTCTTAAAATAGGGCTGAAGACTCCTCGGGTCAAAGTTGGAAACTTCTTCCTTTGTCATCTCCCTCCTGTCCCCTCCCCTCTGATGCAATAATGGGGGGTGGGAGGAGAGGCGGAGAGGGAGCTCTCTCCTTCCTTCCCTCCCTTCCTCTGCCACGTTATCACTTATCAGGGGAGGGGAGAAGGGTTTCGTTTTTTCTAGCGCTGACCGAAGTTAGGGAAGCAGCCCCGGCCCAGGCCAGGCTCGGGATCCTTTGAGATCGCCCTGCCCACTCCGGTCCTCACTGCTCTCAGGGGCCTCTCTCAACTTTGTACCAAGTTCCAGCCAGGCCCGGCCCGGTGGGCAGTCCCAACGCTGCCCTGCCCAGAGCCCTGCCCCCAGACCAGCCAAGGAGCCGGACTCACTTTCTCTTTGCCCAAGAGGGTACGACCTCCTAACACCTGTCCCGAAACTTCTCCCTCGTGCCCCCGGGCCCCGGCCTGCCCGCCTCACCCCAGCCTCTCCTTGCTCTCTTCCGGAGTGAGCTGATCAAACGTCTTGGCCTCCTCCTTGCCCAGGAAGGCCTCGTGGTCGTACTGGAAGCTCTGGTTGTTCTCGGCGGGCCGCTCGCCCAGCTCCGAATCGGGCCGCACCACGCGCTCCTTGCGCACTGTGGGTTTAGCCCGTAGCTGTCCGGGCCCCAGCAGCAGCAGCAGCAGCAGCAGGAGCCCCAGGCCCGGGCAGCCCAGCGCCATGGTCCGTCCTGCGGCCGCCGCCGGAAAAGAAGGACTGGAGAGGGAAGGGAAGCGGAGGGAGGGCTTTGCAGGGCCGGGCCGGGCTGGGCTAGGATGCGCTGCGCTGAGCTCCGCGCGCTACCCCGTGCGCCCAGGCGCAATCCACTACTCCCCTAGCGCCGCGGGCGGGGCAGCTCCTAGGAGGAGGGGGCACCGGAGGAGGGGCGGGGACGGGAACGGGCTTGCCCCTCCCCCGCCCTCTGAAGGGCACGCCCCTCCTGCCTGCAGGGGGCTGGCAAGGGGAGAATCTTCCCTGGAATGGGCACAGACCGAACTAGGGCTTTTGCACACACGTGCACAGAGCTGTGTCCATTGGGCCGGATCCGGACTAGGGGTGGGGGTAGAGTAGGGGAGAGAGCAGCGCCACGTAGCTGGACTCTCTGGGAGGCAGAGTGGGAGGGCGCAGAGGGGCTGGGAAAGGGGGAGGTAGGGTCTAGGGGCAGGGGAGGGGCTTTTTGCCCCTCCCCTGCCTGCTAAAGAGAAGAAGGGGGAATTTGGACGGGATAGAGGAAACAACCCAAAAAGATGAGAGCAAAAAAAAAAAAGCACAGATGTTGGGAATGGAATTCCCACTCTTTACTTCCCCTTGTCCCCGAAACTAAATTCTACCAAGCCAGCATTGCAGTCTACGGCCAGGAAAATATAAGCTTTTGGAAGGCACTGAATATTTCTTGTTTTGCACTCTCGGCCACCACACAACACTCACCATAGTATCGTAGATTTACAGCTGAAAGGAACCTTAGATGCCAATACTCTCATTTTACAGATGAGGAAACTGAGGCCTAGAGGTGAGAAGTGATTTGCCCATGGTCAACACAAGGTCGCAAGGGGGCAAAAATTCAAATTTGAACTCAGATCCTTTTACTTCCAATCCAGTACTCTTTCCACGGTACCAAGAGTGGCTTAAATTACGTGGAGGTTGTCTCTTAACACGGGACCACGAAGTAGCTGAGAAGGAATTTGAACCGGGACTCTAAATTTCTGACAGCAGTGCTTCTCCCCCCCCCCCCCCCCGCGCCGTGTTCTTTTTACAGCCCTCTTAGAACAGTGCCTTGCTCATAGTAGTAATTTAATTCAAATTGAATTCCGTTCAGATTAACAAGTATTTATTAAGGACCTACTATGTGTGAGTCGGTGTTAGGCAGGGCCTGGAGATGCAAAGATTGTGAAAAAGTTAGTACTGAAGAAACTTACATGCTCTCGGGAGATGGGGGTTGGGGGGGGCAGAGGGGGAGGAGGCAGAGAAGAGATACTGTATCAGTTGGTAAATCAACATGTATCTGTTAAGTTCTTACTAGGGGCCAGGCCCTCAGGGAACTCAAATTCTAATGTGACTGACAACATGTAAATAAACATTGTTTGTCTTTCCTTTTCTTTTAAAAATATATTAGTATTTTATTTTCTTACTAATCGTAAAAACAATTTTCAACGTTCGTTTAAAAAAGAAACTCAGAGTTTCAAATTCTTCCCCTCCCTCCCTCCCCCTCCCTACTGTGAAGGCAAGCAAATTGATGTAGGCTATGCGTGTGCAGTCATGCAAAACGTATTTCCATATTAGTCAAGTTGTGAAAGAACACACAGATCAAAAAAAAATCAAGAAGAATAAAGAAAGTTTTTAAAAAAAGTATATTTTGATCTGCATTCAGACTCCTTTCTAGGAAAAAAAGAGATGAAGGAAGGAAGGAAGGAAGAAAGAAAGAAAGGAAAAAATAGTGTTCTTCAGTCTGTATTCAGATATTATCAGTTCTTTTTCTGGATGCAGATAGCATTTTTCATCATGAGTCCTTGGGATTGTCTTGGATCATTGCTAAGAAGAGCTAAGTCTATCATAGTTGATCATTGCACAATATTGCTGTTACTGTGTACAATGTTCTCCTGGTTCTTCTCTTTTCATGTAAGTCTTCCCAGGTTTTTTTCTGAAACCATCCTGCTCCTCATTTCTTATAACACAATAGTATTCCATTACATTCATATACCACAACTTGTTCATCCATTCCCCAATTGATGGGCATGCCCTCAATTTCCAGTTCTTTGCCACCACAAAAAGAGCTGCTATATTTTTGTACATCTAGGTCCTTTTCTTCCTTCCTTCCTTCCTTCCTAAATCTGTTTGGGATACAAACCTAGTAGTGGTATTTCTGGGTCAATGGGTATACATGATTTCATAGAGCTTTGGGCATAGTTCCCAATTGCTTTCCAGAATGGTTGGTTCAGTTCACAACTCCACCAACAATGCATTAGTGTCTCAATTTTCCCATATCCTCTCCAACATTTGTAATTTTCCTTTTATGTCAGATTAGCCAATCTGATAGGTGTGGGGTAGTAGCTCAGAGTTGTTTTAATTTGCATTTCTCTAACCAATAGTAATTTAGAGCATTTTTCACATGACTATAGATAGCTTTGATTATTTCATGTGAAAACTACCTCTTCATATCCTCTATCAACTGAGGAGTGGCTCTTATTTTTATAGATTTAACTCAGTTTTCTATATGTTTAAAAAATGATGCCTTTATCAGCTAACTTGCTGTAAAAATATATTCACGGTTATGATTACTGCTTATTTCCCTCCATTCTATTCCCACCTTCCCACCCCAACCTATCCCAGTTTATCCTAGTCTCTTTGCCTTCACTGTCCATCCTCAAAAATGTTTTGCTTCTGACCACTGCCTCCCCCACTCCTCCCTCCCTTCTGTCAACACCCCCTTTTCTCTAATCCCCTTCCCCTCCTATTTTCCTATAGGGTGAAATAGATGTCTTTACTCAATTGAGTGTGTATGCTATTCCCTTTTTGAGACAATTCCAATGAGAGTAAGGTTCAAGCACTCCCTCCTATCTCCCACATCTTCTCCACTGTAAAATTTGGGAGAGCGCAGTTAAGTCCCTGCCTTCTTGACTCTGCCCCCTCGCTCTTAGTTTTTGAAGAGGATCATTTACATCATGATGTTTTGGAGGATGGGTGATGTCTTGGCTTGCTCAGGAATCAGATTTAAGTGAGGTAGAGTGGTGCAAAGTCATTAGCTTCACTCTCTTTTCCAAAGTCATCAAAATGCAGTGGCAGGACAAAAGTCAAAATGATGTCCCTGGCCTGGAATGCTGTGGATGACCTTGGCTTCTTTGATGTCTGACCAAGTTCTAGGAGCTCAACAGAGCTTGTTTCAGCTGCCTTCATGGCCGTAGGAACAAATTATTCTTATCCAACCATTCCACTGGGGGAAGTCTTCATATGCTTGAGGTAGACATCCTCCTAACAGACACACCTCTGGGGTGTGTAGCCCTTTTCAGGACTACCCATCACCTTTGGTGTCCACGTCACTCACCCAAATGTCCCTCGTGGCTTCAAGAAGCTCTTGCATGTGTAGAGGCCACATCCTGGTAAAAACCCTTGGGGCAGATGGGCTAAACCAGGCTGAGGGTAAAGGACAGACATTAGGTATTCTGAGAGGGAAGGGGTGGGAGGAAATTTAAAGGACTCTGTACAAAGTAAGATTTGATCTGAGTCTAGAAGAAAGCCAAAGAAGCTAAAAGGCAGAAGTGAGGAGGGGGGAGCATTCCAGGTATGGGAATTCCACAGGAGGAAATAAGGAACCATTTGGGGGGAAGATGGGGGAAGGAGGATGGAGGGCAATATGGTCAGATCTGCCCTTTGGAAAAATCACTTCAGCAGCTGAGTGTAAATTGGATAGAGTGTTGATAGAGTAGAGGCAAAAAGACTGATTAAGAGGTTATTGCAATAGTCCAGCTCAGAGAAGATGAAAGCCTGTGTTAAGACAGTAACTGTGGGGTTATAAGAGAAAGGGCAGTATTCAAGAGATGTTGTTAATGTAGAAATGACAAGATTTGGCAAGAGATGGGATATGTGGAGTAAGTGCAAGTGTGGAGTTGAGGATGACATCAAGGTTGGGAGCCTGGGGGACTGGGAGGATAGTTTTGCCCCAGGAGAACAATAGAACGGTTGGAAAAGGGGGCACATTTGGGGTTCAATGTTCTAGGCTGTTCTCCATCAGGATATAAGGGAGGATCATGATAAAAGTGGTAGGTGTACAAATTGATGGAAGTAGAAGAAAAGTTTTTAAAGACATGGGTGACTAATAGCACCCTCTACACCCTTGGTCCCGATGGCCCCCATCACTTCAAGCTTTGATTACTGCAATAGCCAGCTTGGGGCGGGGGTGGGGGGTGGGGGGGAGGAGTCTGCCTGCCTCAAGACTCTCCCTACTCCAGTTCATCCTCCATTCAGCCACTAAAGTGATTTTTCTAAAATGCAAGTCTGATTATGTCACTCCCTACCCCAACACAAAATCAGTAAACTCTGCTGGCTCCCTATTACCTCTAGGATCAAATATAAAATCCCCTGTTTGTCTTTCAATGCCTTTCATAACCCAGCCCCCTCCTACCTTTCCAGTCCTCCTACACCTTACTCCCCAATATATACTTTTCAGTCCGGTGATGCTATCCTCCTGGAGCTTTCTCTCAGGAGACAATCCATCTCTCAGTTCGGGGTGCTTTCTGCGGCTGCTCCCCATGTTCCCTCTCCTCTGCTTTGACTACCGATATCCTGGCTTTGTTTAAGTTCCATTTAAAATTCTGCCTGCTACAGGAAGCCTTCCCCAACCTCTCTGGATTCCAGTTCTTTCCCTCTATTAATTATTTCCTGTTTATCCTTTATATAGCTCATTTAGTATTTTTTTTTTCATATGTTTTCTCCCCCTTAGATTATAAGTTTCTTGAGGGCAGGGACTATCTTTTGACTTTTTTTTTGGTAGCCCCAGCCTGGCTCATAGTAGGTGCTTAATAAATGTTTACTGATTTATTGATAAGGTTAGGAACTTAGGTGTAGGTCGTGGCAGTCAAGGTGGTGGGGACAGTTCCACTTGCCTGGTGCATGCTGATTGCTATCTGTCTCCTGGGATACCCTGCTGCTTCAGCCCCACTGGCTCATCTGCTCTCCGAGGGGCAGTTGGTGGATATGGTCAGCCCCTTCTCCATGGAGCTGCCTTCCCAGATGATGCCTGTGAGAACGGGTCTAGATGGAAGCAGGACCAGTGATCTGGGCTGCTGCACCCAGAGCTGTCCTGACTATCTGGATTTCAATATAATTAATCTCTTTTGGAATAGTATGGACTTTGTCCATCTAAAAACATT